GAAAGAGAGAAAGAGGAGAGTTGTTATGTTTTCACACTGCATGATCACCACAAGACATAAAGGAGGAGATTCTTTCAGATTCTGCAGACATTTTGCTGATTACACTAAAGGTTTTCTCCTAACTTGAAAACCAGGTAAACTGTAGGAAGAACAGAATGAAAAGGCATCAGTGTGATGGTACGAAAACAGTCAGATATTAAAAATTAACAATGATCTATTTCATGACCCTTAAACATTGGCTCATGGGATTGGTGAAAGGCTACGCTTCTCTTCCCTCGGGGAGCAGTGGGCTGCCATTGTGCGGCACCCAGGGATCTTGCTCAGGGACCCATATTGCAAACGGTGGGGATTGAACCGGGTACTTGTAACCTTCTCAGAGCACAAGCGCATTGCTCAAACCACTAGGACAACTCTCCCCTAATGATGAATACTCTGCCCATTTCTGAACACTTTAACAAGGCCTGTCCCTAGTAAGGTTAGGGCTACACTTAGACATTAAACCCATGTTGGACCGATCAATACTGTGCCTGTTTGTCTTAACTTGCAGGCCGGGAGGCTAAGGGAGTACGATTTCATCCTGTAACCCGGGGCTGCCGGCTCAAACCTCTGCTCTGACTTATGTCCTCTCCTGCTGCTGGCGGGCATAGCGTGCTAACTGTAGCTGCAGTGCAGCTTACAACCATCAGCATGTGAACAGAAGAGTGAATGACTGGAAGCACTTAGGGGTCTTCAAAGAGCACTATAGAAGTACAGGGAGTCTAAAATTACAGCTCATTTAAAAGCAAGAACAATGTTAACATCTCTATGAAGAATGTTCAAACAAGGGAATCTTATAAAGTTAAATACAAATGCTGTCATTATTACATGAAAGTCTCACAATCTCTTAAAAACTGGTATATCAGTAGCTGTTTAACCATAAATTACATCAATTAGCAGTTTTCCCTTTGCATAAAAATGAAGTGCTGCAAAAAGAATTTGTCATCGTTGTTTCATATGAGCGATATGTGGCTGGAGATTAATTATTGACTCTGGTGAGAAACATTGATGCTCAATAATCGATGAATCAGCATCAAAAATAAATCCAATTGCATGGAGAGTGATGAACATTTCATCTCCAACATCTACAGGTTTCCACATTAAATGATTTCCGATTTCATCTTAAACATGCCAGAGACTGAGAACTTAAACTAAAATCCTAAATGCAGGATTTTTCCCAAACTTATTCAAAGTTATGACTTATCCAAGGCTGCAACTAAGATTTTTATTACAAATCGATTGATCCGTCGATTATTTTTTTGATTAATCGATAAATAATTGGATAGCAAAGGTTCCTTAAAGAAGAAATTTTTTTTTTAAGAAAGTAATCGAAGCGAAACTAAAACTATTCCCCTTAGGAGTTCTGGATAGAGCATATTGACAGACAAAAAAGTTTTTTTGGTCTTAAATGCAAAATGTTTACATTTTTTTTCATAATTTTGATATAATTGCTGCTAAAGGTGGGTTTATCCTTGAGCTAAAGACACATATTAAAGTCTCCAGGGGGAGTGGCGGCCTAGAGGTTAGGGCATAGATCTTGGAACTCTGAGTTCAAGCCCCACTCCCACAGACTGCCACTCTAGGTCCCTGAGCAAGGCCCTTAACCCCACACTGCTCCCCGGGGCGCCACACAATGGCAGCCCACTAGAATGGGTTAAATCCAGAGGTAAATTTCTCCAATCTGAGATCAAAATGCTATGATTGTATTTATTTGCCTATATGTATTTTATATGGTGCTGCTTTGTATTTTACACCTCATATTATACAGCAAATTGTGACGCTTGTCTGATAAAGGTTTTATATAAATAAACCTGATTTACTTTCTATATTAGTTGACGATTATTTCAAGAATCAATTAATCAGGATTAATCCGATTAATTTTTTCAGCCCAACATTTATCCCACTTTTTAAAAACAGAGTCATGACGGTCAGAAAAATGCAACAAACAAAATAAAGGATAAGTGACCAGTTCAACAGCTGAATCTCTGTTTAAGCAAAGGAGAAGATCATCACAGAGACTTGCTCCAATCAGTCACAGCGGCTGAAACACAGCCTGTTACACAGATCTCAGTAGACGCAGGGAGTCCTTGGTCATTCATAAAGCAATATTCAAGGATCTGGCACTTAATCAATTTAAGGATAACACTTTGAGCTGAGATCAACGACACTCACACCTTCCTAAGCTGCTGAGAACCAAACCAAACATATTCAATCAGTGCTCTCACTGGGACTCAAGTCAAAGGCGAACAGTGTGGCTGTGTTCATGTTGATTAGGATTAATAGCACTTTATTACTTACCAGTTGTCTTTTTTTTTGCTGTATAATTTTGTGGAATACTGAAACATTCATACCCGATTGCTTTTACCAGCCAGAAGGACAGTTTCATAATAATCTAAGGGTTTGATTTTAACTTTCCTGTGCTGTTAAATTATGGAAAGGAGCAGCTATGAGCACTCATCAGGACTCTAAGAGCATCACTGGTTCAAACTGGTGAGCTTCATCTGCCTATTAAGCAGTGAGAGACATTATGTTTTAATGATATGCACAGATAATTCCCAGGAGTTACTATAAATCTGGATGAATGCACGGTATCAGATATCATTCTGCAAAGGAGAGCCACAAAAACAAGTATGTCGCATAAAGATCCCAAGCCAACAGCTTAAACTGTCACTTTTAATTTGGTTGATTTTAAGGTAATCTATTTTTATAGATGAAAACCCTTTGATGAGGTAAAGACACAAAGGCGTAATCAAGCCATCCAAAAGGAAAAAACACCTTGAATCTGCAGGAACCCAGTAAAGCTCACAATATTACCGAAATAAAAGGAATACGACCACAGGCGTTTTCTATGTGAGAGGATTTTACCAGTCAGCAGCAGTGGGTGATGCGTGCATCTCTGTTGAGCCAGATATTAGGGAATGGGGGGATTTAGCTGGATTGAGGACATCAAGTTGACTCTCTGAGCCCACCGGCTACTCATCATTTTCTCTTCCCTTAAGATCAAATACTGTAAACCCCCCTTCCTCGCCCCTCTTTCTTCGAAATTGCACAGCTATTTCTGCACAGAATTCAGGCACAAAAAAACTAAAAACAACTGAAAACACAAATGCAACGAGTGCTTTTATTCAACTTCCCTAGTTTCTGAGTAGAGTAAATAACCTCTGAAAAAAAAAAAAAACTCTGAGCAGCTTTTGGGATTAAGGCGCCACATTTAATGTGTTCTTCATCAAGAAAAATATGCACTTTTCAACTTTGAAAAATGTCCCATGAGGCCAGACTTCCTGTGCATTGCTGCAGGCTTTAATCCTTTCAAAGATACTGGAGGTCAGGCCTCTATTCTTTAGCGGGTTGATTATTTTCCAGATTTAAAGCAATTTATGAGCCTTTTTTTTCCAATGCACAATTATTATAAAAACAAAACTGTTCATACAATCGATAAAAAAGACATTTTATATGTTAAAACTGATAGATATACTAGATTGTTGCAAGGAAAAGGATGCATGATGCTGAAATTACTTTTACTAATAACATGTTTAAGTGCAATTAAAATCCAGTGCATCAAGTTTCCTTCAGAAACTGGCACCCAAAGTGACGATGGATGCAGTTTAATACAAACAAATCCTCAAAGAAAACCGTTTGGAGGCTGCAAATGATTTAACTACCAATAATCTGGAAGAATCTGTGCCAAGACCTAATAAACAAGATTTAAACATCCTGTACATCTAATCTAACTGAGCTTAGATGTTTATAAAGAAAAACTGGCAAACACTGTAGCATCTAAATTGGTCCTAAAAATACTTTTCAGCTGCGGCAAGGCAGAGGATTGACTCAGGAGGCTGAAAACAAACACTCTCCACGCTTTTCACTCCAAATAAATGAAAAGTATCACCTTACAAAGTTTCTCTGGCCTAACACATCAAATCTCCACTGAACCATGCTGTCCTGCTGCACCAAGACAATGCATCAAACTGCATCAATGTAATTTGGGGTCAGCTGGGTTGCATAAAGAGTCATAATGTCTTGCTTAAGGAAACAAACAGCCAACAGATGCGAGTCACAGCAGGGGCCTGGGCCCCAGCCATCACAATGTTTTATCACAAATAATTACAAAACAATAAAAGCTTAGGTAACATATTGAGAAAACCCTGCAGGCAGCCTTTTATTTCCACCGATAAGGATGACAGGAATAATTTGGGGATGTTTTTTGCCAATGGCATGCGGTTTCATCTCTCATGTACTGAACACAGTTTGAATGCATGTGTTCAACTGGCTCTCACGATTTCCCACAAGTGAGACCTGAGCTATGTTCACTCTCCAGAACCCCTACAGCAACAGGCCAGTCTGGTCACAAACAGCTGGAGCTGCCCTCCAGAGAGCACCGGGACAGAGGGACGAGTGGAAACAGGCTGAGAATGAGAAACAGAGCACAGGACAGGAACGGGAGCAGAAAGGCAGAAAGCGTTTTTTGTTTTTTTTCCGCTGTCATAAATAATCAACGTTTAGCCAACAGAGTGAATGAAACTGAGAAAGGGAAGTGATGCCTTATCCCAGAGTTGAATCCATATGGGAAAACTGGCAACTCACATGGGTCATGAGGAAACAGAGAGAAAGATAGACTGGAAAATGACACCAGGAACATAAAAAAATAGTGAGATCTATAAAATAATGATACGCAATGCCCTCATCATCTTCATGCTTCATAAATACAATACCTCTTCCTTCTTATCTATTTCTTTGTCATGTCGCCTCTCTAATTCCTTAGCAGTTCCCTTTCCCCCTTCCTTTTGTTCGCTACCGTTTCTGTGCACGCATATCTGTGCCGGGCATAATCGCATCCACCGGCAATGAAAAGATTTGAAAACATCTGCCATTTGGCTTGAGGTTTTCCTTTTTCATACTTTGTCACAATGAATCGGAAAAGGATCCCGTCGGAGCCAATCATGCAAAGCAGAGATCCGTCATACCTCATGTCTTCCAGCAGATCACATTCAGTCTGATGTTTAAAGTGCAGCCTTGTCATCTGCTCGGCGTGAGTGTTTTTCAGCTCCTGCGTCACTTTGACCTGAAGAGAGTAAAGAAAACAAAGACATTGTCAGCTGAGAGATTACGCGCTTCTTCGTCTCCCAGCAGGCAGAAAAACATATGATTAGAGTTTCATTGCAGATTTAGGATTATAATGTCATTAAGAGATGAAGCCGGAGGGTTTTTACTTCATTACTGCATGCAAAATGATCTAGAGTTAGAAGACGGTATGCCACCTTAATGTTTTATCGGCACATTATGATTCAATGATCTATATTAATTCACATTTCATCATTCTTTTAATTCCACCTGTTCCTGTTGGGATTGAGGGTTGTATAAATCAGAAGCATAAAAAGCTGTTGTCAGCTGTTTTTTCTTTTTAATATCTTATGGAAAATATTCTGTTAAAAGGATATGTTTCTATTATTTAAAGAAAAAAATATCCAGTTGTCAGTAGTCTACTTATACCTTAAAATTGTAGGTTAGTTTGACATGTGAAGGTTCTGCTAACTTTGTGCTTTTCTTGTGAAATGCGGGAAAATCATCTTTCTTTTGAGCTAAAGAGTCTTTGTCATCATCATGTTCACTTTTAACAATAAAATTATTGCTAACAATATGCTGCTGAACAACAATTTATGATAGTTTAACAGTTGTCAGGCTTTGCAACCACAAAGGGAGGGGCTGAAGGGGCAATTGGTTCAGTAAATGAGAAGGGAATTAGCTTTTTGGTGGGACCTCTAAGGTAGTGGGTTCAACCCCCATAGAAGTCATGAAAAAATGAAGGGTTTCGTTAAAGGAAACCAATAAGTTTGTGCAATACAGTAAAAAGCTGCTGAATGAAAAGTAAATTCAAAAGCAAGAAATGTAAGATTTTTTACATAACTGAGAAAAAGTCTAGTTTCCAATGTGCAACAACCTCAAATTAAATGTAAGGCAAAAGCAAAATTTAAATGGTTATGTTGACGTCCTAAACTTAAACTTTTACTGAAGGTTGTTGCCTTAACATTTTTTTTAGTTCTGCCACATTTTCATTTTAAAAAATTTCTACAAAATCAAACAACTGAATGAACATCCTGCGAGTGATTCCATAATTATCGTCAGGGGTTGTATATGTGAGGCAAAGGGGCAGCACTGTCTCAGTTAGTCCTGCTTTGATGCAATCTACCTGCTCACACTGAACGTCTAAAAACCACGTGGGACTCAGCTCCGCAGTGAGATGGACCTGCTCTGACTCGTCTATCCGGAAGCTGAATGAGTAGAAGAGAAATATGAAGCTTACTAGATGCACTGCTTTTGTAATTTGTGCAATTTTGTGCTGAAAGCCCTAAAAAGAAAAGGCGGCGACGTATTTGGACAAAGACATGGCTGAGCAAACAAGGCTACTCCTGTCAATTTTACAGAAAGAACTCAATTTCACTCATTGCCCTGCCATGCTTCTGTGTTTTCTTCTGAGAGGAAGAAGAAGAAGAATCCTTGTTTGCCCACTGAACGTTTTGCCCTTGACGGTCTGAAGAAAATCAAAGGTTTGATTCCTGATCGGGAGGAGGTCGTGGGAGGCTGATCGCCCCTCGTTATCCCCTGTACACTAAACGACACATGATGCATGATCAGGCTGAAAGTCGGTCCGATCGGAAAATTCTCACACGACTGGAGAATCTGCCCAAAAAGGGCAACAAAAAAAATCGCACAGCGTAAGCCCGGGTTAAGTTGAACTCTGCTGGCAGTCAAATCTATTAGGAAACTCTAGGATAACTGAAATCCACATCAACATTTCACAGCTCCAGAACAGTAAGGAAAATGATACAAATTCCTGGTGTTTTGCTGCCAATGTAATAATATTTATGATCTGGAAACTTAAGTTCTGCTTGTTTGTGGCAGATAGTCTTAATAAATGACTCTAATGGGGGGTTTTGTTCTTGAATTTAGCAACTTTTCAAAAAGTAATATATTTCTCCTCCTATTTGGTTACTACAGTTATGTTCTGGGGTCTGATTCATGAAGCAGGTTTACCAAAAAAACTACCGTAAGGTGTCTAAGCCTGAAAACAGGGAAACTCTGACTTTTCCGGTTCACAAAGAGAATTTCCTTAACCTTTGTTTCAGTCACCATAGTAACATTCTCCCCAGAAATAACCTGGTCGGTAGCAGGTTTTCTTCCATAAACTCAGAGTCTCCACTGTCTCCGCTCTCCTTACAGCTAATCACGCTGTCTTATTTCCTGATTTAGTCTTATTTTTGGCATAGTTGTGTGCATAAAAACACACAATATATATATATATATATATATATATATATATATATATATATATATATATATATATATATATATATATATATATATATTTCACTAGGTCTGTTACACGTATTAGGGTTTGAAAACAAACCTTGCATATCCGCTTGATGAGGATTATTCTTATTAAAGAATGGTCGGCACTTTTTCGCAGAGAATTAAATATTTATAGGGAGAGGATTCTGAGTTGACAGGGCATAAGATTACCTGTTTTTGGTTTGTTTAATACGAGCAAGATGCGGATCATTTTATTTTTATTTAGTTATATTTACAATACATGAAGATGTACTGAAATTATTTTCAGATTACACATAAAAAAGATTAATTAATTCCACGAGGGAAAACTACTTTAGGGTTAGGATTAACTCGATGATAACAACCTAATGAGCCTACTTGCACAATCTGAAGGCCTTCTATGGGCCTAATAGCCACTTATACCGGCTATTTATTGGGATGATCACATCCGAAGCACGGCTGCAAACGGTCAGCCACCTAGTATTAACTGCGTGATAGAAGACTGAACCAACATGAGGAGGGATACATGAGATGATCCACATGTTCTATATATTAGAACAATGTTTTTATTCTTCATCCTCATCTGCTGCCAGAAGATTTCACTTAAATAGATACATCCATCTACTACCATTCAAGAAATAATCCCGCAATATTTTCACAGTAACAACACTTATGGCAGGCTGTTTTGATATGTACTAATTTTAGTGAGTATGTATTCCTGTTATCTGAAAAAACATTTTTTTCTTTAAATGACCATTTCAAACAAAATGACATTCTGGATGTCTAGAAATTTATTTCAGATCTCCATATACCTAATATTACTGGTCACAATATGTATTATTTTAACTATGATAAAATGTATTTCATATATCATTAATACATTTTCAGTCAAGCTGATAAATGTCAGAATGGCCATTTAAAATGTGTAAACATTTCTTGATATATAAAACTTAATTCTTACTAGTATGATTTGTTGTGTTTTTAACTTTCTAAAATTCAGTTTCTGCTACAAAAATGTAATTTAGAAAATATATTATTACAGATAGGTCTAGGAGTGGGATTTTGATCAGGAAGAATCTTATTTTAGTGAGCTAAAAATGGAACAACAGAGAGAGGCGTGCTTTTAATAAATGTAAAAACGTTCTGCCATAGTCCACTTTATATTAGGGCTGAACGACATAGAAAAAAAAATGTATATTGATTGTTATCGATAATTATTGAAAAGATTTGAAACCATATTTTTTGTGCAGCTCTGCCTGGACATTTTATGATAATGCTAAATGATTTAATTTTAATAAAGAACACAAACACAGACTTCCAATTAAATCTTTAATTAACCAACTTTTTTAACCACAACAGAATTGTTTTTAAGAAAAATAACTTAAGAGACCTGAGTTATGTTATTAAATACTGACAATGAATAAACTAAAGTGACCAGAAAAGTGACCAAAATAAATATAACAAATAAATATGCTTAGAGTTGCTGATTTGAATCTGAATTTGTTAAACCTGCTTCATGAAACAGACCCCTGGTGGTTACCGACTCAATGGTCAGTAGTTGGGGTTTAGCAGCTTTGCAGCTGACAAGATTTGGAATATAAAACCGCATCATAATCAATTGTTTTAGCAGATCTGCACTTTATTCCAACGTTTGACCAAAAAAACAACATATTTTTTTGCAAAACTGTTATGGATCAGCCAAAAAGAGTTGATTCAGATATCAGGTAAAATTAATCTTTATATAATGGAACCACGGCTTCTTTGCTGTTACATGTGGCAGCGGTTGAACGGATGGCCACATTAAGAAACACACCCACCCTTGTGGGTTCCATTAAAAGAGAAATAAAATTTCATTTCACACATGGGCGGTTTTCGCTGATTAAGCCAGATCTATTCACGCTGTCCTGTGCTAAAAATAAAGAATGTCCACAGAGACAAAGGAAACCTCTTAATGTACAAACATCCAGGCATCTCATGCCAAACAGAGAAGGTCAGCGAGCATTGTGGCCTGGATTCCACCATCTATTCACAGGGGGTAACAGGGGGTAAATTCATGACGCTTCTAGACAAAACAATCAACAACACATTACAGAGAGAGAGAGCAAACTTCCTTTCTCTCATTAGCTGCCCCTCTGAAGATACAGAGGGAGTGGTTCAATATATTATCAGGGCAAAAGCACTTCACTTGATTTCACCTTCTCTCACTTAGAGGAAACCACAGGAGGGGTGAGGCGTAAAGAGGTATCTGCACAGGGTTATGTGGGGATCAGGAGGCCGATCGAGGCGAGCCGGGCGTGACAGGAGAGGGAGGTGAACCATGAAGAGGGAGGAAGGAAGGAAATGAGACCGAGAGGAGAAAAAGAAAGAGTGAGATGGCGGGACTACAAACGATAGCATAGAAGAAGGCGACGATGGCTACAGAGACGGCCGTTGCTGGGATTAATAGGACCAAGGTTTCCAACAAAATGATCCCACTAAACTACTTTCTTCTTACCTTATTGCTCCAACAAGCTAAATGTGACAATAAACACACCACACCCTTTTTTTTTAGCTGAGATAAACACAAAGATTTATTTCATTTACACCCTTTCTGCTTTAATATTGAAGTCACGTTTATTACACAAATTTATAGACAGGTTAGCTAAAGTATGTTAGTTTACTCTGCAGTACAAAATACACAACACATAAGAAAAGCTAGAAGGGCTCAGAAATGTACATACACCTGTTCTAATGTAA